CTGCACGCGCCCCCGCCGCTGCTCCATCGCCTCCTGTCGGCGAGACCCGCGCGCGGGCGGGCGGCGTCCGGGTTTGGTAGGTGTCTGGCACGGGGGTGAAGCGTGCCGCCGCCCTCGCCCCGCAACTTTACCACCTCCCGCCGCCCCCTGGAAGCTCGCCCGCGACCCGAACGTACATCCGAGACAAGCCTCGTCCTCCTCCTCCGCTCCTCCTCCTCCTCCTCCTCCTCCTCCTCCTCTCCGCTCCTCCTCCCTCCCCCCTTCCGCCTCCGCCCTTCGCCTCCGCCTCCGCCTCCGCCTCCCGCCCTCGCCGCCTCCTCCGCCTACGCCTCCGCCTCCGCCTCGCCCCCCCCCTCCTCCGCCCCCGCCTCCGCCTCCGGCCTCCCCGCCCCGGCCTCCGCCTCCGCCTCCGCCTCCGCCCTCCGCCTCCGCCTCCGCCTCCGCCTCCGCCTCCGCCTCAGCCTCCGCCCACCTCCGCCCTCCACCTCCGCCCTCCGCCTCGCCTCCCCCGCCTCCGCCTCCGCCTCGCCTCCGCCTCCGCCTCCGCCTCCGCTCCGCCTCCGCCTCCGCCTCCGCCTCCGCCTCCGCCTCCGCCCTCCGCTCCGCCTCCGCCTCCGCTCGCCTCCGCCTCCGCCTCCGCCTCCGCCTCCGCCTCCGCCTCCGCCTCGCCTCGGCCTCCGCCTCCGCCTCCTCCGCCTCCGCCTCCGCTCCGCCTCCGCCTCCGCCTCCGCCTCCGCCTCCGCCTCCGCCTCGCCTCCGCCTCCGCCTCCGCCTCCGCCTCCGCCTCATCTCCTCCTCCTCTCCTCCTCCCTCGGCCTCCGCCTCCTCCTCCTCCCTCCTCCCCGCATCCTCCTCCTCCCTCCTCCTCTCCTCCTCCTCATCCTCCTCCTCCTCCTCCTCCTCCTCCTCTCCTCCTCCTCCTCCTCCTCCTCCTCCTCCTCCTCCCTCCTCCTCCTCATTCATCATATCTCATCATCATCACATCCATCATCATCATCATCATTCATACATCATTCATCATCATCATCATCTCATCATCATCATAATCAGCCATCATCATCATCATATCATCATCATCATCATCATCATCATCATCATCATCAGCATCATCATCATCAGCATCATCAGCATTCATCAGCATCATCATCAGCAGGCAGCATCATCAGCACCATCATCAGCATCATCAATCAGCATCATCAGCATCGTCATCAGCATCATCAGCATCATCAGCATCATCATCAGCATCATCATCATCATCATCATCATCATCATCATCATCATCATCATCATCATCATCATCATCATCATCATCATCATCATCATCATCATCATCATCATCATCATCATCATCATCATCATCATCATCATCATCATCTGCATCAGCATCAGCATCATCATCACCACCACAATCATCATCATCATCAGCATCATCATCATAATCATCAGCATCAGCATCGTCATTGGCACCGTCATCATCATCATCATCATCATCAGCAGCATAATCATCAGCATCACCATCATCAGCATGATCAGAATCATCATCAGCAGCATCAGCATCATCATCAGCATCATCAGCATCACCATCAGTATCACCATGATCAGCATCATCATCAGCATCAGCATCACCATCATCAGAATCCTCACCATCATTACCACAATGAGCATCACCAGCACCATCATCACCATCAGCAGCCTCATCATCAGCATCATCGACATCATCAGAATCAGCATCATCATCATCATCATCATCAGCATAATCAGCGGCATCAGCATCATCCTCATCATCAACATCAAAATCAGCATCATCAACATCGTCATCATCTTCATCACCAGCATCATCAGTATCAGCATCATCAGCAGCATCAGCATCATAACCATCATCATCACAAAAATCAGCCTCATCAACACCATCAGCATCATCAGCATCATCATCGAAAGCATCATCAGCAGCACCAGCATCATCAGCAGCATCGTCAGCATCGGCATCATCATCATCTGCATCATCAGCATCATCAGCATCAGCAGCAGCAACAGCAAAAGCATCATCATAAGCATTGTCATCAGCAGCATCGTCCTCATAGTTATCATCCGCATCCTCACCATCATCATCTACAAAATCAGCATCATCCTCAGCAGCAGCATCAGCAGCCGCACCAGCAACAACAGCATCAGCATCATCCGCATCATCATGATCATCAGCATCGTCAGCATCATCATCATCATCATCATCATCAGCAGCAGCATCGCCATAATCATCATCAGTAACGCCGTCAGCATCATTAGCATCATCATCGGCACCATCATCAGCAGCCGCTGCATCAGCATCATCATCATCACCATCATCATCGCGGCAGAATCAGCATCACCATCACCGTCACAATCATCATCACCATCATCATCATCATCATCATCAGCATCGTCGGCATCATCAGCATCAGCATCATCAGCATCAGCATCATCATCAGCATCAGCATGATCAGCATCATCATCAGCATCAGCATCATCATCATCATCGTCATCATCATCATCATAAGCTTACTCCTGCTCCTCCTCCTCACACATGCCTCCGCCCCCTCCCCCACCTGGTCATATTCCTCCTCCTCCTCCTCCGCCTCCCCCTCCTCTTCATCAGCATCATCAGCAGCACCACCATCATCATCAACATCAACATCAGCAGCAGCATCATCAGCAGCAGCATCATCACCACCACCACCACCATCGTCATCATCATCAGCATCATCAACATCAGCATCACCAGCATCATCAGCATCATCATCAGCATCATCAGCATCATCACCATGAGCAGCATGAGCATCAGCATCAGGATCAGCATGAGCATCGACATCCTCCCCAGCAGCATCATCAGAATCATCATCATCATCATCGTCATCATCATCATCATCATCATCATCAGCATCATCATCATCATCATCATCAGCATCATCCTCGACCTCGTCATCCCTATCCGCCTCCTACTCCTCCTCTTCCTCCTCCTCCTCCTTCTGCTCCTTCGCCTCCACCTCCGCCTCAGCCCCCTCCTCCTCCTCCTCCTCCTCCTGCTCATCATCATCATCATCATCATCATCATCATCATCATCATCATCATCATCATCATCAGCATCATCATCATCATCATCCTCTTCCTCTTCCTCTTCCTGCTCCTCCTCCTCCTCATCCTCGTCCTCATCCTCCCTCATCACCCTCCTCCTTTGATTCCTCCTCCTTCTTCGCCGTCTTGGGGTTTGACGGTTCCTCCAGCCCGGTGTTCCTCTGTATGCTCCCCCACGTCATTGATAATGGCAACTCGTCTGGGCATGTTCTCTGGATGTGGTGACCGTCTCAGTCCCCCCATCCGCATCAGCATATTACACTGCATGCTGCATGCTCCTCTGCATCCCTGATCAACGCAACTCGCATGGGCGTCGTGTCTGGATGGGCTGATGGGGTTACCCGGAGCGTCTAGAATTCTTGACAGCATGCGCAGACTTCAAAGCGGACACCCTCAGCACTGCTGCCCAGTCCGAAGGCCTGAGAGGGAAAGGAGAATGGGGGGACGGGCGGGAAGCCATGGGTGAAGAGGGGGTTGGCACCCATCGTGGTCCTCGTCCTGGTCCAGCGCCATTTCGAACTTTTCCAGGAGATCCTGCGCCTGCTGCAGCTCGCAGTCGATCTCGCCGCGCGGAGAGGGTGTTCAGACAGCGTCCCCAAGAGACAAGGCTCGTCCGCATCAACATCTTCATCATCATCAGCATCAGCATCAACATCATCATCGACAGCATCATCAACAGCATCATCGGTATCAGCATCATGATCATCAGCATCATCAGCAGCAGCATCATCAGCAGCAGCATCATCAGCAGCACCAGCATCATCAGCAGCATCATCATCAGCATCATAATCAGCAGCATCATCAGCATCATGAGCATCATCAGCAGCAGCATCAGCATCAGCTTCAGCATCGTCATCACCACCACCACCACCAACATCACCATCACCGTCACCAATATCGTCCTCACCATCACCAGTATCGTCATCAGAATCGTAGACATCGTCGTCGCCATCATCCTGACACAACTTCATATCATTTCCAGAAACCATCATGATCGTTTGGGCTATCATCAACAAGATCATGTTACTCGGCATCGTCATGGTGTTCAGCATCATCGTCGCCGCCATCATCAGCGTCATCGTCGTCATTGCCACCGAAAAAACATTGTCGTAACGAACGTCTTCGCCGCCGCCTTTGTCCTGATGGCTACACCCTCCCATGTGCACCGTCACATATGTACCACCACGCTCAGTCGTACCCACATGATCCACATCATTGTCGTCATGCGCGTCCTCGCACTGGCGATCAATCAAAATCATAATCAACATCAGCAGCAGCAGCATCATCGGCAGCATGCATTGTCACCATCATCGGCATCAGCAGCATCAGCAGCATCCTCATCGCCATCATCAGCAGCAGCAGTCGCATCAGCATCAGCATCAGCATCAGCATCAGCATCAGCATCAGCATCAGCAGCAGCATAATCAACATCATCAGCATCAGCATCAGCACCATCATTATCGTCATCGGCACCATCAGCATCAGCATCATCATCAGCAGCATTCACACCATCATCATCATCAGCAGCATCAGCATCATCATCATCATCAGCATCATCAGCATCAGCCTCATCCGCATCATCACCATCACCGCCAAGAAATCATTAGTTGCACCAACATCTGGTTCAAGCCATGGTGGGTGGTTCGACCTGCGCATGCGCTGCGATATTGAGTTGGTATTATGTCAGGTTTGCGCTTGGATCTGGGCCCTCGCCAAAATTGAAGCTTCAGAGGGACGTATGATGAGGAAATTTAGGAGGGGAGGGTGTATTGCAGCATCGTTGATGCATATTGGGTTTACTCTGATCCCCCTAGTCCGCCTCCTCCTCCCCCTCCTCCTCCTCCTCCTCATCCACCTCCGCCTACCGACTGTCTGGTCCAGCTGGGCGCCG